TTAGGCATCGCCCCTGGAGAAGATGGAAGGAGAGAAGCGGCCGGAGCCCTACTCGGGCCTGTTCGCGGACGGGCACCTGGTCCTGTGGACGCTGTGCTCGGTGCTGCTGCCCGTGTTCATCACCTTCTGGTGCAGCCTTCAGCGGTCGCGCCGGCAGCTGCACCGCAGGGACATCTTCCGCAAGAGCAAGCACGGCTGGCACGACACGGACCTGTTCGGCCACCCCACCTACTGCTGCGTGTGCGCGCAGCACATCCTGCAGGGCGCCTTCTGCGACTGCTGCGGGCTGCGCGTGGACGAGGGCTGCCTCAAGAAGGCCGACAAGCGCTTCCAGTGCAAGGAGATCGTGCTCAAGCCGGACGCCAAGGCCCTGGACGCCATGCCCCACCACTGGATCCGGGGCAACGTCCCCCTGTGCAGCTGCTGTGTGGTGTGCACGCAGCAGTGCGGCAGTCAGCCGAAGCTCTGCGATTACAGGTATGGCCTTGGTGGGTCCCGAGGGTCCCACGGCTCTCCGTGGGAGTCAGGATTTAGGGCGTGGGTGCGGAGGCCCGCTTTGATCTCTGCCAAGTGGCCTGAAGTGCCCACTTGGAGGAAGCAGGCTCATCCACATTCAGGGCAGCTTGGCAATCGTCCTATGCTGAGATGATGCTAGCCTCCCTCACTCCTCAGCCAACTGACCTTTTGTCTGCCCTTTTGTACGCTCTCAGCTTCCGTCCAGAGGTCTCTAAGTGCTGCGTACTTATGGCCACCGTATGTTATAGTTTAGCTTTGGTTGCTGTTATCTCCACTTTATGTAAGAGGGGAAAAATGAAGTACGGATATTATCTCCACTTTATGTAAGAGGGGAAAATGAAGTACGGATAAGTTAACTTTCCCTGGAGTCTTAAAACGGATCCATCCTCCGTGTTGTATGTACAAGGAAGACAAGGGTCATTCCAAAGCAGCACTTCAGGTACCTTTTTCGAATTTAGGTTTCGATGCTATAGTGACATACAGCCCTTAAAGGTATACTCCTGTTGTCAGTGGTCTTTCAGGACATTAGCATCTTAGAAGGGTGACTTTGACGAAGCCAAACATATTGTAATGGCTTTAAATACACACTGAACAACATGTCTGTGTTCTTAAATAGTGTCTGGAACTAGGTAAAGGTCATGTTAGAGCTTGGTAATAAAAGGAAATGGTACTTTGCAGAACGTCTACTTATTTCACAGTTGAGAGAATTGTAGTCAGTAGTAAAATAGAATTCTGACCCCCCTGGACAGGGTTAGGAGTGCTATTACTACGAAGCCCTGTCTCAGCCTTAGATATGGACATCTCCATTGTGATGGGTTTCATTTCTGACAGGTAGAAAGGCCCCGAACCATGTTTAGGAACTGATATAGAAAGGTGGCACTAGAGAGCAAGTGACTTTTGATGTCTGTTGTTGTTTTTCAATCCCTTTTTTTTTTCTTAATTTGTGTGAGCATTGTTAAGTCAACACCTGTTTTTTAAAAATATTTTTTTATTGATTTCAAAGAGGAGAGGAAGTGAGAAAGAGGGAGGGAGAGATGAAAGACATGCCTCTTGCACACCCCCCGCTGGGGATCAAGCCTGCAACCAGGGCATGTGCCCTAACCAGAAATTCAGTCATAACCTCCTGGTTCATAGGTCGAAGCTCAACCACTGAGCACACTGGCAGTGTTCAACACCTATTTTTAAGTCTTATTTCTTTAGTTTTACCTATCAGATTTAGACTTAAGAATTTAACTTTTCCAAAAAAATATATTTTAAACAACTAGAGTTTTGTTACCACTCATTTTTATCTGGGCTCTTTGTCCTTTTTGGCATCCATAAGAGCTAGGTTACCAATGTCTTCACATTTTATGTTCTCCCTTGTAGGTAAGCTTCAGTCTTCAAGAGCTGGGATTAGTTGGAAAGAAGACATGAACTTAGTATTGTTTTTATTTCCTTCCCTTCTTTGTGTTGGTGCAGAATTAGATAAAAGTGGCTGCCATAAGTATCTTAACTGTGTTTCTAGAAAGATCATTAGGGTGGAGAATCAGAGCACTGTGTTTATTTGTGAAGGAGCAGACGGAGTACCTGCTCTGCTTAGAACCCTTCACATGCACTGATGGTCTTTCAGTGTAAACTCGAAGTGCTTCACACAGTCCTACATGCCCTCCAGACCCTGCCTGCCCTTTTAATCTTACCTACCGCCACCTGCATTAAACTTTTATGTATAAGCAACATCAGGAAGACTGTCCTTTTATTTCCTGTTCTTGTTTTTGTTTTTTGTTTTTCTCAAGGCTTTCCTCTCGGTCTTAAGTATCCTTCTCCTGGCTAGCTTCTATGCATCCTTAAAGACTCACCTTGAGCCCTTTCCTCTAGGAATCCTTGCCCTCAAATTTTTCTCTTGATGATAACATAATATCCTGTTTCTCTTTGGTTCTCAAAGTAAAGTCCCCACAACCACCAGCAGCAGCGTCACTTAGAAACTTGTTGGGAATGCAGATTCTAGGGTTGCCAGATTTAGCGAACAAAATAAAAATTTTTGCTGTATTTGGGACATACTTATACCTAAAAATTATTTATTTATCTGAAATTCAGATTTAACTGAGCAACCTCTATTTTTCCTGGCAACCCACTGAATCAGAAACTTGGGCTGGGGACCAGCATTCTTGCTTTAACAGGCTCTGCAGGTAACTTTAAAGTTGGAGAATCACTTGTATCTTTATGTAGCTTTTTTAAACATGAGCCCCTATCCTTAATCTTGTGCCCCCTCCCCACCCCCTTGAGCACAGTGAATGTTTGTGCTGATAAATCTCCTCTTCCTCATTAGCTTGTTCTTACTAGCACTGAGCATTCTGTCCAAGCATGCTAGAACCCTTCACCCGTGGTAGAAATGGTCTCTGTATAATTTAGGAAGGGCTTATTATTCCCAGGAAAAAAGAGCACAAGGCCCTGAAGTAGCGCACATTCTGCAATGTTCTGATTTATTTCAGCCAATAATTTTATTCAGGATTACAGTCAGCTATGACCTTCCGTTGGAATGAAATATTTGAGAAAGAGAAACAAGATAAATATCTATTTAGAACTTTTTTTTGTTTTATTTCAGAGGGAGAGGGAGAGAGATAGAAACATCAATGAGAGAGAGAATCCTCGATCCGCTGCCTCCTGCACGCCCCCCACCGGGGATCAAGCCCACAACCCAGGCATGCGCTTCCTGACCGGAATCAAACCCAGGGCTCCCCTTCCTTCTCCCCCCCCCCAGTCCCCAAGCCAACGCTCTATCCCCTGAGCCAAACCAGCCAGGGCTATTTAGAACTTTTAAACACAGGCCAGACTGTCCCTGTCTCTGGATTTTATCAAGCACTGTTGGGGGCTCCTATTCTTGGGATATCTGTGATTTTAAATGAACTGTGAAGGCTGTACAATAAGTTAGCATTTCAAAGGGCAAGTGATGCCTGCAGCCCAGTTAAACTCCGTAGACAAGTGACAAAGGCCCTTTAATTTATGTTCAGTCATTATTTAGTTTTCACATAGTAAGCATCTGTTTCTTGCCACACACTGTGCTGGATTCTTACTTTCCTGTAGATTTTTTCCTTTTTTTTTTTCCCTGCTTCTACTTCCTTTTAATCTTTTCACCTCTCTTCTAAACTAAATAGGAAATTAGTTTATATTTTTAAATATTCACTACAGTTATTAAATGAACCTTTGTTCCTTTTGTGTTCTCTCTCATTAAGAAAACATAAGGTGCCTTTTTATTTATGAGGTCTTTCTTCATTACGTCCCACTCCACACACACACACACACACACACACACACACACACACACTGTGATTCATAAAACAAAGCTTCTGACTCTTGGAAGGTAATTACATTGGCAGCTTTAGTCTCAGCTTTGATCTTAAATTTTATATCTCTGTGTTCTGTTGGTATGTGTTTATGCGTTTTATTAATTATCTGAAACAGTAAAAAATAGCAAATCATCTTCTAGAACAGAAGTAGGCAAACTTTTTCTGTTAAGAGTCAAAACTACGTTATTTTAAGTTTTGCAGATCATGTGGTCTGTCATAATTACTTAACTCTACTACACAATATAGAACAAAGCCAGCCGTGGACAATACATAAATGAATGGGTGTAGCTGTTTACAAAAAATCAGATGGCAGGGGTGTAGGTCTTTACAGCATAAAAACATTTGGATAAACCACAAAAAGAAATATAGATCTATCAAAAAATAAACAAGTACATTAAAAAGTACCTTTAAAAGAAAACAAACTATGCCCTAACTGGTTTGGCTCAGTGGATAGAGCATCGGCCTGTGGACTGAAGGGTCCAGGGTTCGATTCCAGTCAAGGGCATGTACCTTGATTGCGGGCACATCCCCAGTAGGGAGGATGCAGGAGGCAGCTGATCAATGTTACTTTCTCATCGATGTTTCTAACTCTCTATCCCCCTCCCTTCCTCTCTGTAAAAAATCAATAAAATATATTTTTTTTAAAAAAGAAAAACTAGTTTGCAATAAATATGACAGAAAAATGTTGATATCCTACACAAAATAATGCATGCATTTATTAAAATATAGGGCATGAATCAATTAACAAAAGGCCAAAAAAAATTCAACTTCACCTGGTGATCAAAGACATCCAAATGAAAACAACAAAATACTTTCTTGTCTATCACATTATCAAAAAAAAAAAAAAGTTAGGCCATAACCGGCTTGGCTCAGTGTATAGAGCGTCGGCCTGCGGACTGAAAGGTCCCAGGTTTGATTCCGGTCAAGGGCATGTGCCTTGGTTGCGGGCACATCCCCAGTAGGAGGTGTGCAGGAGGCAGCTGATCGATGTTTCTAGCTCTCTCTCTCTCTCCCCCTTCCTCTCTGTAAAAAAATAAAATATATTTTTTTAAAAAGTCCTAATGAACAGTATTAGCAAGTGTTAGATACGATGGACACATTCGTGCACTGATACGCATATTGGGCAGACATATCAAGAACCTTAGGAAAATGCATGGCCTGTGACTCAGTATCTTGACTTCTAAGAGTCCAGAAAAATAGCCTCATTTATGTTTAAGCCTCATTTTATTCCTCGTGTTATTTATACTTAGAAAAATAAACTATATGTTTGGGAGGGGAAACAGAAAAGGGGTTAAATAAATTATGTTATATCCATATGATATTACTCATTCTTTGCAAACCATGTTTTTTAGAAATATTTCATGGCATAGCTCATATTCATAATACAATGTGGGAAGAAAAAAAGTGCTATCCAGTTATATATACTACATCATATCCCTAACCTGGAAACCAAACATTTATGCACTGTAAAAATCGAGAGTAAGCACATGTAAAAGTTAAGAGTGACTATTTCTGGATGAGCTTTATTTTATGTCTTTTTCAAGAATAAGCTGATGTTACCTCATTTTAAATACAATTTTAAAATGTATACCAATACACGAAGATATTCTGGTTTTTAGAAACTCAGGCAATTTACAAAAGAATATAGAGAAAAAAGTAAATGTTGTCATCCTTCAGTCCCACTTTCCTTCCCAGAGGAAACCACTGTGAAATAAATCAGTGAGTAACCTTTTATATTATTTTCAATGATAACATACTACTTTAAAGTTAACAGAAAGTGGGCAGAGGTACAGTACCTCAGCTGCATAAGCCATCTTTTATAGTTCGAAAGCAAGCATCAACAAAGGTTATCAGGCAAGTTATTTTACAGTTTCCTCTAACGCAGGGGTTCTCAACCTTCGTAATGCCGAGACCCATTAATACAGTTCCTCGCCGAAACCGGTTTGGCTCAGTGGATAGAGCGTCAGTCTGCGGACTGAAAGTCCCGGGTTCGATTTTGGTCAAGGGTTGCAGGCACATCCCCAGTAGGAGATGTGCAGGAGGCAGCTGATCGATGTTTCTAACTCTCTCTCTCCCTTCCTCTCTGTAAAAAATCAATAAATATATTTTTTAAAAAATACAGTTCTTCATGTTGTGGTGACCCCCAACCATGAAATTTCGTTGCTACTTCATAACTGTAATTTTGCTACTGTTATGAATCGTAATGTACATATCTGACCTGCAGGATGTATTTTCATTGTTACAAATTGAACATAATTAAAGCATAGTGATTAATCACAAAAACATTATATAATTATAAATGTGTTTTCTGATGGTCTTAGGCGACCCCTGGGAAAGGGTCGTTCGACCCCCAAAGGGGTCGCGACCCACGGGTTGAGAGCCGCTGCTCTAACAGCTCATGCAAATAACTCTTCTGTCAGCAGTAAATAGCAGTAATTACTTGACAAATATGAACATCCAACCAGAAAAAACAACAACCTTAAACTAGAAGGCTAAACTGTTGATCTGGGGGTGAAAGAGTAATTATCCTTTTTTTAAATTATTCCTTTAACTCTGACGTCTGTTTTCAGCCGGCCTGCAGTCATCTGATCGCCAGAGCTGCCTGATCTGGGAGAGGATTAACTGCTGAACAGATTAATGACAGGAACCCGGGACCTTGACCAGCATGTTCCCTGCTGGTTTCAGCACTGGTCCACACAAAGGCCGATCTGAATGTGCATGTCTTCTGTCTGGATTTCAAATGCAAACATATAGATTCATTTCGTATTAACAGCCACCAAGAAATGGACTATTTTACTGTAGTTAGTAATATTCACAGATGGGTATATAAGTAAAGATATTTTCACATGGACCCTGAGGAATGCTTCAAGGACCCAGGCCAGTGGGGCATTCAAGCACTAAGGACTGTAGGCCTCACAACCCTGCCTCAACCAAAGCACAAATGAATAATACACAGAACAGTTGTTCTAGATCGGCTTTTGTTTCTGTGGATCAGATCTACTGATATTTACCATGTTATAAATTAAAACAGAACTTTTCAGTATTCATTTTTAAAAGATTGATCATGATAACAAATACTGGGTTGTTGTTTTTTAATTTTAGAGAGGAAGGGAGAGGGAGAGAGAAATAGAAACATCAATGATGAGAGAAAGTCATCGATCAGGTGCCTCATGCATGCCCCACACTGGGGATCAAATCCAAAACCCGGGTATATGCCCTGATGGAAATAGAACTGTGACCTCCTGGTTCATAGGTCAACACTCAACCAGTGAGCCACTGGCCAGGCTAAATACTGCATTTTTATCAAAATGAAATAAATGAAAATCTAAAGAAAAGAGTGATGTTAGTTGTGGTACATCTCTTTGGCTTAGAAGTCAGCTCAGAGTCTCCTATGTATTTCTGCATCAGTTTATTGATGTAGCACCTGTCATACAGCTTTTTGAAAACTCCACTGCACACTTTTGAGAGAATGAGGGTAAAAATAACATTATTATTATTATTATTATTTAAATGATTTTAACCTCACAGACACCGTGAAAGGATCTTAGGAGCCCTAAACCATCTTTTATTTTATTTTTTAATATATTTTATTGATTTTTTTACAGAGAGGAAGGGAAAGGGATAGAGAGCTAGAAACATTGATGAGAGAGAAACATTGATCAGCTGCCTCCTGCACACCCCCTACTGGGGATGTGCCCGCAACCAAGGTACGTGCCCTTGACCGGAATCGAACCCTGGAACCCTTCAGTCCGCAGGCCAACGCTCTATCCACTGAGCCAAATCAGTTAGGGCCTAAACCACCTTTTAAAAAACACTGTCAAACTGCCAAGTATGTTCAAACTTTATTGCTCTATTTTCACTATAGGTACAATTATAAATCTTTCAGTTGCCACATTTTATGCTCAGTAGTGATGACATTACTGTTTTAGGTTTTTTGACAGAAATGATTGGTCTGCAGATCAGTAAGCTATGGTTTAAGTTACTCATTATTGTCTTTGTTTCTTCCACCCCTCAGGTGCATTTGGTGTCAGAAAACTGTCCATGATGAGTGCATGAGAAGTAGCTTAAAGAACGAAGCCTGTGATTTCGGAGAATTCAGAAACCTCGTCATTCCACCCAGTTACTTAACCTCTATTAATCAGATGCGTAAAGACAAAAAAACAGATTATGCAATGGTAATCAGAGTTCATTTGTCCCTGTGTAATTGATTTCCAGGAAGTGGTTTAAGTCAGTGTGTGACCATTACAACTCTGTGTATGTGAGAAGAATCGTTATGGTAAACCATAAATCCCTACCCAGATCCTAGAGGTGTGCCACAAATGTGGGCTCTTGAGTTCTTTCATGTCTAAAAGGAAACGTTATATTAGTGGTTTCTAAATCACTGCCTGTTTCTGGACTTGGGGAACTTTTTAAATATACAGGTTCCTGAACCCACTTCCATGACCATGTCTGATTTAGTAAGTAGGTCCCAGGAATCCATCCATGTGTTTTTAAGGTTCTCAGATGATTCTGATGAACAGCTAGAATTGGGATTCATGATTATTGTCAGTGAAAAGAAAATGTAGATTTTCCTCACACATTGTTCTCTAGAAGAATTTTTCCGTTGGGAACTTTACACAGGGTGTCTAGAGATGCATTTACATTGCTCATTATATGATCCCACAAATAATGTTGAACATTGAAGCTGCTAACAGCACTTAACAGTATTTTTGTGTATGAAAACTGATGTAAATGTATCTCTCAGTCGTTATGTAGCTCTGAAGGAATAACTATAAATATTGGCATTGATTTTCTACATGAATATGCCAAAATGGTTAAACTGCTTTATTTTAAAATTAAATTGTGTCTTTTCCAACTTAGGATTTTATATCTTAAATGTCATCTTTGTCAATATTCCTGCAAAAAAAAGGGGAATTTGAAAATTTAAAAACATTATGTTTAATGTTGTGGTACATTTTTTAAAATATGTTTTTACTGATTTCTTTTTTAGAGAGAGAGGGAGGGGAATAGAGAAGCATTGATCTGCTACCTTCTGCATGCCCCCCACTGGAGATCCAGCCTGCAACATGGGCATGTGCCCTGACCAGGAATTGAACTTCAACCTCCTAGTTCATGGGTTGATGCCCAACCACTGTGCCATACTGACCGGGCTGTGATACATATTTTTAAATGTACAATCCCTAGCCCTGTCCTGCATGGTTCCGTTGTTTGGAGTGTCTCCCATACATTGAAGGGTCTCTGGTTTGATTCCCGGTCAAGGAACATAGGTTCCTTGTAGCTTCAGTCCCAGTCTCGGCATGTACAGGAGGCAACTGATCAATGTTTTTCTCTCATACTGATGTGTTGTTGTTTTTTCTCTCTCTCTCTCTCTCTCTCTCTCTCTCTCTCTCTCTCTCTCTCTCTCTCTCTCTCTCTCTCTCTCTCTCTCTCTCTCTCTCTCTCTCTTTGTCTCCTCTCCCTCTCTCTCTGGAATCAATAAAAAAAAAATATCCTCAGGTGAGGATTTAAAAAATTATAATAAAGATAAGTAAATAAATGTACAACCATTATGTATTTTAATTTACTCTGAGATCACAAGGAGTGAGAATTGCTAAGAAAAAACACACAAAACAACTCCATGTTTCCATCCACAAGAAGAAGGGGAGAGAAAATAAATTGTTAGGTTAGAAAAACATTAATTTCATTTGACTTTGGGCTTTGTACAAGTCTGGATTCTTTCATCTATTTCTGAGTACCCATTTGAAAAAAGCAAATAAACTTGCAAACTATATATTAGACTATATCCAGAAAAGGACAGTCAAGGTAAAAGAGCAGAGAAAGTCATTGTCCATTCTATGAAAGGTCAAAAGAACGTGAAATGCATTGTCTAGGAGACAAGACTAATGAAAGATAATACGCTTCAAGTGTTTGAGCACAGCATTATAGGGAAAAACAAGTAAAATTTCTAGTTGCTTCAGAAAATGAAATTAGAACAAAGAATAAAAGTTATTGAAAGACAGATTTTTAACTCCATTTAAGTCAAGACTGTAATAATTTAGCAGTAGGATGGGGTGCCTTGTTAGTGAGTTCTTATATGCGTATCTAAGCATACACTGGAGGACTTAACTAGGATAATGTACAAGAGAATTGTACATTACGTGGAAGCTAAATTAGTTCATCTTTAAGGTCCCGTCCTGTTCTTTGATTTTTATATTGTATTTGTTGTTCTGGGATAGTTGTTTTTCTCTCAGCAAATTACAGCACTGTTATCAAGAAATGAAAAATTGAGGGGTAGGGTAGGTGGGGGAAGGTATAGGAAGGATAAATAGTGATGGAAGGAGACTTGACTAGAAAACAATACAATGTACAGATGAGATATTTAACTTTTTCATTCACCTTAATTTTTTTAGCTAGCCTCTAAGCTTGGGAAGCAATGGACTCCATTAATAATCCTGGCCAACTCTCGTAGTGGAACTAACATGGGAGATGGACTATTGGGAGAATTCAGGATCCTTCTAAACCCAGTCCAGGTATCTAAAGAGAAAACCTTCCTTTCAGTGTTAATCTTTTCATTTTAGCTTTTCATTTTTCCTAAATTGTAATGGTTATTAATTGTTTCAACCAGTATTCACCTGATTGTAGGAAAGAATAATTATAAAAGTATCAAACTATTCTAATATATTGAGAAAGGAACTCATGGTGAAGGTATAAAATGGTGCAGCCATGTTAGATAACAGTTTGGAGGTTTCTTAAAAAATTAAACATATAGCCTCGCCAGTGTGGCTCAGTGGTTGAGCGTTGACCTATGAACCAGGAGGTCATGGTTTGATTCCTGGTCAGAGCACATGCCTGGGTTCAATCTACCCAAGGGAAATGAAAACATGTTTCACAAAGACTTTTATGCAAATATTCATAGTAGCATTATAGCCAAAAACTAGAAACAGCCCACCTGTCCAAGAAGCCAGATGCAAGGGGCCCATATTGTATGATTTGATGTATGATCTCCCCGGAAAAGGCAAATCTGTAGAAACAGTACATTCGTGGTCGCCTGAGGTAGGAAATCGGAAGGGACTGCACCTGGACACTGAGGGATCTTATCAGAGCGACGAAAGTTCTAAAGTGCTGATGCACAGCTCAGTAAACTTCCTAACAGTCATTGAATTGTTCACTTGAAATGGGTGAATTTCATTAGATGTAAATTATACCTCAGTTAAAAAATAAAGATAAAACAATTGCGCCATTGAAATTGAAGTTACGTGCTAGCAGCTTCTGCTTTGAAAAACTAAACAACCCATTGTGCAACAATCAAAGACGCACTGATGTTTTTCCTTCCAATGTGTATTTTCCCCTTTCAACATTATACATTAAGTAAAAAGCATGTAAAGGAAAAGAACAGTCTAACATAGAGCCTGGCATATTGTTACAGATCAGTGCATTGCAGCCAGTCTTTTACTTAACCATGTCTATACCATCTACAGCAGCAGTTCTCAACCTGTGGGTCGAGACCCCTTTGGGGGTCGAATGACCCTTTCACAGGGGTCGCCTAAGATCATCGGAAAACACATATATAATTACATAATGTTTTTGTGATTAATCACTATGCTTTAATTATGTTCAATTTGTAACAATGAAAATACATCCTGCATATCAGATATTTACATTATGATTTATAACAGTAGCAAAATTACAGTTATGAAGTGGCAATGAAAATAATTTTACGGTTGGGGGTCACCACAACATGAGGAACTGTATTAAAGGGTCATAATATTAGGAAGATTGAGAACCACTGATCTAGAGGGAAGTCATACTGACAAGTGGAGGACAGTGTTGGATAAAAATAATTGTTTTCTTTCATTTTTAGGTTTTTGATGTAACTAAAACTCCCCCCATCAAAGCCCTGCAACTTTGTACTCTTCTTCCTTATCACTCAGCTCGAGTACTTGTGTGTGGAGGGGATGGGACTGTGGGCTGGGTCCTGGATGCCATTGATGAAATGAAGATTAAGGTACCAACCTCTAAGACAGTAACGGCAAACATTTTGAGCTTGGCGTGTCAGCATTTTGAAAAACCCTAACTTAACTCTGGTGCCGTGACACATATAGAAATTTTTTGGTATTTGCAACCATAGTAAAACAAAGACTTGTATTTTTGATATTTATTTTATATATTTAAATGCTATTTAACAAAGAATAATCAACCAAAAAAATGAGTTTGTGTGTCACCTCTGATACGCGTGTCATAGGTTCGCCATCACTGCTAAGATCTGAGTGAGAAGTCATACGTTAGGCTGAGTACTTGCCTTTCACATGAGCACTAAGATAATCATACAAGATTTTTGGTTATATCTTTTATTTGCAGATGAATATGAGAAGACTGCCAATTTGGTATATTATGATTAAGCAGTTAGCATAAACTTTAGCAAAACAACATTCAGTTGTTATATTTATATCTTTATTGCTCCCGTCATTAAGTTTTACCAAATGTTATTACTGTACAAATAGAAGAGAAAAATCTAAACTCTATCTTCCATATTCTAGGGGCAAGAAAAATACATCCCACAAGTTGCAGTCTTGCCTCTGGGAACAGGCAACGATCTATCCAATACATTGGGCTGGGGCACAAGTTACACGGGTGAAATCCCAGTTGCCCAGGTCTTAAGAAATGTGATGGAAGCAGATGGAATTAAACTGGACAGGTAAGTTGCACTTCCCCCAAAAAAATAGAATTTTGAGCTTTGAGAATTTTGTTTGGTTTATAAATGAAGTCTTGTATAAGTTATAAAGTTAAATGTAATTTAAAAGTGAAAGACTGCCAAAACCGGTTTGGCTCAGTGAATAGAGCATCGGCCTGCGGACTGAAAGGTCCCAGGTTCGATTCCGGTCAAGGGCATGTACCTGGGTTGTGGGCACATCCCCAGTAGGAGATGTGCAGGAGGCAGCTGATCGATGTTTCTCTCTCACCGATGTTTCTAACTCTCTGTCCCTCTCCCTTCCTCTCTGTAAAAAATCAATAAAATATATTTAAAAAAAAAAAAACAACATAAAAGTGAAAGACTATGTTAGTTGTACTTAAACATAGATGATGGTGTTTTTATTTTGTTGCTGTAATATTTTCTTGTTATATAAGGACTGAAGTCACATGTTAGGCTGAATACTTATCTCAAAATTTGCATACTCACAGATGTGCTTATTTTTCTTTTTTTGTTGTTTTTTTGTTTTGTTTTGTTTTGTTTTTGTTTTGTTTTTTTTCACTTTCATTAAATCTTTATTGTTCAGATTATTACATTTGTTCCTCTTTTTTCCCCCCATAACTCCCCTCCTCCAAGTTCCCGCTCCACCCTCCGCCCACACTCCCCACCCACTGTCCTCATCCATAGGTGCACGATTTTTGTCCAGTCT